GACCTTCTTCTATATTGATCGATTATTGTTAACTATATTACTGATACAAACGTTTATTTACCCCCCCCCCCCCCCCCAAACAATGTTGAAAATAGTTAAATGAAATATCTAAATATATCATTAAAAATGTGGTCCCCGCAGGAAACCATTTTACTTGTACTTTCATTTACATGGTATAATTAACTATGTATACATTGTTGTGGTAATTGTTTAAGTACAGTGTGAAAACAGTTGAACATTTTAAAAATGATTTATAGAAACTTTCTTCATCATATTGTTACTCGCGCCTTACAACAAGTAAGAGAGATAACTTCTCATGTCATACAAAGAATTTTCATAGTTGTGCCCCTTAGTTTCTTTTCATTCATGCCCCATTCGTGGGCTTCTGAGCAGGATAGTTTGTAATGCATTTATGTGGTCAGTTTGACGTATGTTTTTCTTAAGTATATGTCGTATATTTTCATTTCCTAAAATAGTTCACACATCATGTCATGTTTGTATTTAAACTTAACAATTAAGGGTTTTCATTTTGATTCCCAATGATTGTAACATATTGCTTGTAAATTTAATGTCAGTAAATAAATACTAAACACCTAAGTGCATTTAAGATAAGCTGAATTGTTTAATAATGCTATTTTCCGAATTTATGAGGTTACAGCTACAAATATAGCTACCTTATTTGCATATTGTTTTGATCATCAAAAGTGAAAATGACTGCAGTAAAAAAAAGCTTATTTAATGTTCCAATAACATTTTGTTCAGCAATCTATCAACATCTGTTTTAAAAGCTATTTTCAACATCTGTTCACGATGTCGTCTTTCAAAGCAAAAGTATTGTAAATAAACATGAATGAAAATAGCAGATAAGATAGACTTGACAATAGAGCAATAAATTTCCTATATTCAATTGATATGAGGAATTTCCATGTTGTACATGCATTTTCCTTTGGTCTGGGTGATACAGATTTTAATGTACATAAAAAATCCTTATATATAGTGTATTCAAAATTAGCTAGCATAAAATGTACATGTAATATATAGAGGATATTTTTAAGTTTTATCTATAAATTTCATCGAGTGTTATGAACATAAATATTTCATGAGTGACGGTAGCCACGAGTGGAAAATAAATCCTGTATTTATAGAAAAGAAAAGTAGAATTATTTGTTCAACATATACATTTTTTGACATAACAACTTAAATGTGCATTGGCTGAATTTAGAAGAAGGTAGTCCCACAAGAGATCAGAGAAAATACGGAAACTATTTTCTTTGCAGTGTAAAAATATACACTGGAAATACGGAAAATGAAAATAAGCATTTTATTTCATCAATATTTCTCTATATATTTCATTGATACGCATAAACAAGTATAATTCAGAGTCTATATCATTTAACTTATAATGAAGCCCGTGTTGAAATATCCTTATTTTTGTTGCCCAGCTATCAAGTTGTTCTGCCATCTACACGTCGATTTACTAGAGCACAGTTCAGTCACCGCATCGTTCCTGGGCAGGCTGTAAAGTAGTTGTCTGTGTATGCTAGATCGAATGAACCATAAAATCAATTCATAATCAATCACAACGAAAGTGATCTGCGCCGCCTGGGAATCGAACCCGGTTCACAGTCCAACGCTCTACCTATAAAAAATTGAGCATAGCGGACGGCTCGGAAGTGATGATCTTTATGCCACAAGTATAAAGACAGGCCAACATGACCATCCAGCAGTTCTGATGAGGTTCTATACTGTTGGTAGCTCAACTTTTGTATTTTGATATTGAAATTTCTTTAAAATTGAATGGACTGTTCCAAATTGAAAGTAACACAATTCAGCTTAAAACAGTCCATATCCCAAATGAGTTGGTGCTATTTTGAATGACCATTTCTTCACTATGTAGGATCTATACTGTTTGGCTGCCAAGTTCTTAATTGAAATTTTGATAGTCATGTATTCCTTTATCTTCATGCTTAATGTTTTGATGTACATTTGTCAAAATTGTCAGAACTTGAATAAACCTCAAGCTGGAGTTAAAGGAAATTCATTCATGAGAATACAGTAGGAAGGGTAGTTATCCAAATCAAGGTCATATAATACTTCTTGGAGTTACAATGTATTTGTTCCATATCTAGGAAATATAGGGAACACATTAAGGTCATATAATAATTCCTGGAGTTAATTGTCCCAGCATCAGGAAATGCGGGGAACAAATGTATTATGAAGAACCCCGTACTAGATCCATTTCACCACTTGAATGCAAGCTAAAATTCTGAGGTCATAATGGACGAATAATTCTCTCCCTTCATAGAAAAAAAACAAACGCTTCAAAGGAGTGAAAAAATGCACACGTTTTGTTTATGCTCACGCTAGTATATGTTTACGATAGCACCAAGATGATATTTCTTGTTTAAGTATTACCTGGAAAGGATAAACAAAATCAAAGGGCTGCAGCTCTATGGTATTTTCTGATCTTTGCAATCTAAATCATACTGACCATCTGTATGTACTTTCCTGTATAAGTTTATTTTTATATACTTTAATTCATCTTACGCAGCGACAGCGTTTTGATTTCCTTCTATAACAGTTTGAGATTGATACATATGGAATTTTTCATGAAAAAAATAGAATTGCCTCGACTAGGATTTGAACCATAGGCCTCTCACACCCTCAACGAGACCGCTTACCTCTGCACCACGGCGAAGTTATACATATGTACCTTGAATAAAAACGAATACATTATGTAATTCTAAATTGAGAATTTCCATTTCGTGTTTGTAATCTTTATTAATTTCGAGATAAACCTGTTGTTTAACACTGATGAAAATAATTTAGCGAAAATCTTCTCGCCAAAACAGTCCGACATGTACTACTCGACAGTCAGATTTATTTGTGTACTACGCTCTGGAGTATTCGGTAATCGACATAGCTAAAAATAGCATTTTCATTGATTAAAATGATATTCATGATAATCCGAAGCTTTACGGAAATAGCCGAACATTTTTCATTGGGTAAAAAAGATATTCATCCGCGAAATTTGTGATTGTAACCTCATATTTCTATTGACTAATCTAAACTTTTAATGCACTGTAATTCGTTAAATGCCTACATTAAAAATTATTCTTTCTTTTAAATAGCTGGTTTTTAAGCAGTTTTGAGTGAGAACTACTTTGCGTTGTTAGGACTGTAAGGAAATTTTGTGTTAGACCGTGGATGTTAGCTATGTATTTACTGATCTTACGATCAGAAAATACAAAAATGAGACCTTGCTATATATGTATAATATATATAAATTCATTAAAATGTAACTAAGTAAAATCTGTATTGTGTTTGTTCAATTCCTACTTCAGACAAGAATTGAAGTATAGTAAATAAACATATTGAAGTAAGATTTATGATTTTATTATCAACTGTATCTATTTCATACTTTATATGTGGTGTCCCGGCCGGGTTTATGGTACTTCAGTTTTGAATAATCATTTTACAACATTAACATTCACCATGTTGATTTTTGTAATCGACTAGTCCTATTTTGAATTCGGAACAATCCATTATTTCTTTAAGAAAGAAGTTTTTATAAATAACAAGTAAAATGGTTTCCTGCGGTGAACATTTTAATGATATAAATATATTTCAACATTATTTGGGGGGGGGGGTAAATAAACGTTTTTATCAGGAATATAGTTGACAATAATCGATCAATATAGAAGAAGGTTTTTGGAAACAGGTGACCGTTGAAGACCGGAGAAGGTCCAACATAAAACAATTATTTCTTTTTAAGAAAATGATTAAATAGGCCTACCATTTTATGAATAATTCCGAGCAAAAAAAAAATAATAAAGTAAACACACAAGTTTACGCAGAAAATATCTCTATTTATTATGGCAGATGCCACTACGAATATTTTAATTTTGTAGATTTTCAGTATAAACAATTTATTGTTTGTAAAATTTGAGATAGATATTAATGAAACATTGATCATTTTCAAACACATCATTCAAGGTTTTCCACCTTAAACGGTAAAATATTTATAGAAAATCAGAAATATCACGTAATAGTTTTTTGTTCTCAATTAGGTATAGTTCGGACTAATTCCCTACAGGTAAATCCGTAACGTACCGGCAAACAGTATATAGCTGGGTCTACGAAAAGGTCGATTAACAAATCATATACGGTTTATAGATCACATGCTCCTCCATGTACCGAAAACAGGTCACGTGCTCTTCCATGCCTCAAAAGTTAAACGCGTACCAATACCCTGCGGTCTCCAGACCGCAGGGAATAAACAGTAGTCCGTATAGGGTGTGATCGGGTGCCGTCCGGTTAGCTCAATGGGTAGAGCGTTGGACTTCTGGGCGACCTGGGTTCGATTCCCGGACGGTGCAAGTCACTTTCGTTGTGATTGATCATGAAATCCTTTTTTTTTGGCCATTCGCACTGTACCTCTGCTCTGGTCTGTACAGAAGCCATCAGTTGCATGGGAAAGTGAAGGCTGGTCTGAGCACTGGTAAATTTAATGTGGCTTAATTACTGCCGTGATCCGGAGTGAGAACTTCCAACACCACCAGTGTAGTGTCAGAATGCACGGAACGGCTAGTCTAACTCACCCTTGTATATAGTATTATATATGCCGTTTTTTCCTGTTATGGCGTTCATACGGTTCTAAAAATATCTTAGTAACCGAAACAGTTGAACGCGTTGATGCAAACCAAACCATAAGATTGTTCGGCATTGCTTTATCTCTTGACGGAGGGCTACCAAGGCAAATGATTTGTTTTTTGTTGTTGTTTTTTTTTTCTATGAAAATTGCAACGAGGAACTAAATATGCTGCATGCGCTTCAAAAGTAATGTGTTTAAAATTATTATGTTAGAAGTTTAAACCTTTCAGATCAATTACCTTAATGGGAGTTTTACCTTTTTTAGAGATGTTTTTTCTGCTTTAAAAGTTTACAACCAACAATTCACTGTTTAAAAGCTATAAGTAGTCCAACAAAATAAAAACAAGTATCAAAATATGATTTTATTAGACCAGTCAACGAAACTAGTAAACATAACAGTGTAATAAAAATTTGAGAGAGAAAAAAAATTTTGGCAATAAAAATGGCATCGTAAAAAACAAACATCTTCAAATTTATCTTGTACAAATAGATATACATATATCACATAAATTATGTATAGCAATAAAACCATGTATATCAGTCAAGTGTGTAGAAAATGCGAAACAATCCTATACAAGTGTCATGTATAGCTTGTTTACATTCTGTTTTCACCATCCTTCCTTCTGGCTATTTACTTTGCTTTGTATACAATAACTACAGATAGTGTATGATATCTCGTCCCAAAGAACGCTGTAAGAAAATTCGCCCATCTCCGTCACGTACATTATCAAATATATTTAACTACAAAGCGTGTTTGACATGATTTGAAATATCTCAAATTCATCCAAACGATTTTTTTAAATGATAAGACACAGCAAGGTCTTTCAAATAAAAATTTGAAAGACTCTGGACACATCAATCGGAACACTTCGGCTATTATCAATATCCGAAGACTGACGGAAAGAATCGGAAAGTTGCGATTGAAGACACAGTTCAGACCGAATAATCTGAGGCTTATAGTAGTTGTTTAAAGTACAGAACATTTCCGTGAATTACAGAATCCGTATAAAGTATTGCCTGCAAGTCCTCATTCCAAAACATGGTAAATATATGCAGTTGAAACACTTACAGAGTTTTAATTGTATGTATTCTGTTGTCAAGCACTTGAGTTAACTGCGTCCTAAAACTTATTAAGTAAGCATAGTTGATAGCACCATTGTATACAGAAATTTATTTCCCCATATTTCAAAAAAAAAAAATTTTCTTCTCCAAGTCCAACCTATACTTCTTCGTTTGATACTGCACATACATGTATACAGTTATACATTGTGTAGTTCATTACATTTTCGATTGCTTTCATTGTCATCTTACACCATTAATACAATTATGTACATGGTATCTTAAAGCATAGTTGAAACCTTCCGGGTTTATTGTGAAAGACTTCCAAGTTTTCATCTTTAATTTGGCAGCTTCTGTCATAAATGTAGACTCAAGCTTACCTGAAACAAATGTAACGAATATAGAATTATATCTTTCTTGTAAATATAAGGCATGCATTCACCGGAAGTGAATAATGTGACTGTAATTATAAATATATAACATGTTTCATAATTCATTACTTTATTGCATGTTCATACAAATAGTCTTCAGAAATTACTGAGATAAAACTATAAGCATCTTGCCATAATATCAGACACTCAGACAAATATATGTTTCGTCTGTATACACTTATTAATTGTAATCAAGTCATTCCAACAACAACAAAAATATTTGTAGGTGGACTTCACGCCAGGCTTGACCATGATTATCATTTCATAGAAAAGATAGGCCTTGACGTCAATGGATGTTATTTCATATTATAGGCATGATATAATTAAAATACTGCTATATTGCTAGCTTTTACTCCCTTTTTAACCCTGTGGGTTCGAATTCGGTCAGGGACTTTCATGTAATAAAACTTTCCACCATCTTTACTGAATATTTGTGGTTCTACCACAGTAACAACTGAAACAGTTCATGATTGATAGAGCATGGGCAGATGACAAATGTTAATTATTTCCTGAAAGAGCATACATACCTGTGTAAAATGATAAAAACTGAGTGTTGCTAATAAACCAATAACAACGAATCCAACGTATTGCACAAACCGTAGAAACTCCTGCAAAAAATCAAATGTTGCATTTAATACACATGCGAAAATTATTTCCAGAGCTTTCGTTTCTTTAGCAACGAAAAGAACAGCTTAATTTGCAAAATATTAGCAGTAAAAATGCATTGAATTTGATGAAAAATAAAAGATAATCGCATTTTGAATCTGTCTGATATAGAGGTTGTTCCCAAGCTTTTATATTTCGATTTTTTTTAAAGAATCTAGCTATTCTTGCCACGTTTTATTTCACTGCAAAATTATTTTTATTTATGACAATTTGCACTAAACAATGTTTTATTCCTTTTAAAAAGGTGGAGATCCCAAAAGACAATGATAACAGAAACAAATAAATAAAGTTAACTCTCACGTCATCTCTCACACATACTATCATCAGATTCAGATGTGTTCGATCCTCTACGTTACAAGCATTGGAAAGAATGATCCAAAAGACCCAGTAAAATATAGCAACAAAAATAACGTGCTATGATTAAAAAACATTGATATGTTGAGTAAACTCCCGTATAAAATTACCAATGGCCTTCGCCAATGTATATGTTATTATTACGCATACGAAACCTTAATCGCGCAATAAAAAGAACAACAAATGGATATTGGTGCTAAGTAAAGCAGCTCTCCACCTATTGAGTGTGTATTTTGTTAAATTAAAAGATGACACGCCACAAAACGAAACTGTGTTCATGGTAAAACTTTTTGCCTAGGAAAAAAATCGCGATTTTTGTGATTTAAATTAAGCATGCGTATCTCACACGTTATCATCGTGCTGGTATGGTGTGCTTTGTCTTAACCGATCATTCTTATGCAAAATAATTATGTAAACCAAATGCATACATCCATCCATTTACGCCAATTTATATACAACAATGTAAATAGGTTCATTAACATAAATTTGGAAAGTGCTGTAAAATCCGAAGTTGTTAAAGGAGGTTGTTGTTGGGTTTTTTGGTCGTCTTTTTTTCAAAATGGTGATCCATTTGTTTTTTAGGAGATCATAGATGCGAAAGAGATTTTTGTTATATCTAAGTTATCTCTTGAAGTATAAAATGAATGTATGTACGTAGAAAAACCCGAAGATATAAAAAACTAATTTTAAATCGAAGTGGTCACTGAAAAGGGTAAATGCAAACATAAACTATAATATAATTTGAAAAGCCGGTCAGCATATCTTGTACGGAATCCGAATACATGTACATCATGTTAATATTTATATTTACCCAGATTTTATCTGTAAAAATTGCCACAAGAAACATTTGTTGTAATGACTGTCCGCACATAATTCTCCAGAACCAAAATATCAACCAGGTAGTGGTCGAGTGTAGTGCCAGTGACTGTAATGTCTGAAATCACAGACGATGAAAGACATAACTAAACAAAGATGTAAGCAGACGATAAAATATTACTACATGTAGTTTGTTTGTTTGTTTTGGGTTTTACGTCACATCGACACAGTATAGGTCATATTGCGACGTTCCAGCTTTACAGGTGGAGGAAGACCTCAGGTGCCCTTCCGTGCATTATTTCAGGCACGAACGGGCACCTGAGTAGAACCACCGACGTTCCGTAAGCTAGCTGGATAGCAAAATATAACTAGTGACGATAAAAAAGCTCTTACAAAAGAAATCAGTAGACGATTTTAAAAAAGCGGAAGAAAGGAACTAGCAGACGTTTGACGAAAGAAACCAGGTTTAAAGAAATCAACAGACGAGAGAGAGAGAGAAGCTGAAAATAATAATTAATAAAATCAGAAGAAAGAAATTAGCAAACGATAAAAAAATCAAACGATATAAATAACGACCGGACGACAAATGAAACCGACAGCTGAAAGAAATCAGCAAACATACACATTCTAGAAGGAAGTTGGCTACTTTAACTGTTTCCGTCGCATACGAGCTTTAATGTTGTAGTTGTGAAGTGAAAGTAGAATGGCGTGTTTACGTTACACCAGTTTTATCACCTTGACAGTTATGTATATATTATTCAAGTACATCATGTCTAAACGACATAATATTGAGTAAGTGTCGACATCACTTGACATGTACAATACAATAAAAAATACAGAGACTTCACGAAATACATAACAAAATATTTGCAAGCGCTGCTTAAAAATATGCCCCAAAACCTGTGATTTTATTTCGAATCGTCATGTACGTAGTCAGATTCATAAGTATCATAGTTATCTTCATTGATAAGAAAATAGTTAAGTGTAACTTTGATATACACTCCTTTGTTAAGATAGAAGTACAATATTTTTAAATTGTCGTTTGATCGGAGCTTGACACTGCTCTAGGCGATCTAGTTAAGTGTTCATCTGATAAAAGAACCATCATATAGCAAGTAGTGCTTGTCAAAACATATAATTTTAAATATAATTACATGTATATTTTGTTTTACGTTGCGCGTGGAAACCCCCGGACCAAACGTGAATTTCCAACCTATACTCAATAATTTAACTTCGTTTATTTTCTGTTGACACCATGTTAAATTTCAAATTACAGGGTATGAAAACAGCGATTTATTGTTAAATCAAAGAACCGTAAAAGCAATGAAAATAAAACGCCGAATACGCAAAATAACTGTGCAGTTATAAATGAAATTGTATGTGTGTCAAGGTAATAGGTTCATTATAGCAACAGGCCAATGGTTGACGCGAGTCTTGCTTTATCTTCCTTGCTTTATCTTTCAATGTTTATTTTAGCCATATTTTTCTGAAAATACGTATCTATGGTACGAAATTATGATTTATTCAATGACAAATTATGTTTATAATGCTTTTGTGCATACTTTATTTTATTTTACTGGGATATTTGAATTAATATAAAAATGTATTTAGCATCTTGAGACTCTTTCAGATTAGGCATTCTGACACCTTATAATTTTGAGAGGAAAAAACGATCATCTATGTATAGGGACAGACACACTTTTAGGACAGATTGGTGTAGTTCAAAGAACAAAATGTTATCCGTCAAAGGAATCAACTTAGAAAAACAAAATTATATCTGTTTTTAAAGTAGTTATTATTATTCTGTACAGTAAAATTGTTTAAAAGTAGGTAAACAATGTATTAATGTCAATTCACTTACCACCAATTCTGGATCATCTAATTTTGTAAGAAACACTTTTTCAACTCGCATGGTTAACTGATCCCATATAGCAGACGACACTCCAGTTTGCATACCAAAACTAAGACATCGTAAAAATATGAATTGTTTGCTGTAACCAAATTGAGTTCTTTTAATCGGTTTCTCTGTGACTAGATCGTTTTTAGCATCATTGATGTCGTCTGCAGACCATGGAAGCGTTGTCGCGGAGGAATCTGTTCCAGGCGGACATTTCCACCACAGGAAAAATAGTGCACCGAACATCAATGCAAAACCCCCTATAGTGTCTGCAGTACAATCAAACCAAAATCCAAAATTACTATGATCTGACTTGTAGGCTTTTACGGTAGCATGGCTTCGATAAACTGTTCCGTCAAATGCATCCAAGAATGATCGTAACTCAAACAGTAACACTCCAATGCGTCTATTTTGTAGAGATTCTGAGAAGACGAATTTTGCTGATATGAACGCTAGAATTAAATGAGTGAATGTTATCATGTTTGGTGTGATGAAATAAAATATTTGACTAAATTTTGTAACTCTGTTAAAGTTTTCCGACAATGGTGTGATGACGTAATGCGTTGTAGGGTCCGTCATAATAAGTTTTATAGAAAGCGGATGGAACGGTGACCATGACTGTCCGGGTTTTGCGGGCTTCTGGTTGACTAAGTCAACTGACTGAAGTGTGCTGTACAACACGCCATCCATAAGCAGGTAATAACAGGCGATTGTAAGTCCGAGCACCCCAAATATCGTCCTCTGATGCTGAGAGATTGCTGCGTAAATTTGCTGCATCCTGGATTTTGTGTGATCGTCTCACCAAGTTTCAGCTTTAAAACGTTTAAAACACTATCATACAGCACTATAATCCACCGCTGAGAAAAAACATTATTAATTCCAGCTGAATTGAAGAAACAACACTTTATCTTCAAACGGGACGTTCATATACTAGTAACTTGAAAGAAAAAGCAAAAACGGTATTTTGTCGTTGTCCGAACTTTCGCTTTACAATTGAAAGAAATACCGTAATATTCGCCAAAGATGACTATAGATCACGTGGATATTTCGGCGACTTGTAGTGAATCAGCCAACAATCAGTACTTCATATACATGTACGGTATCAATTGTGTCCGTTTACTGTTACAACTAGATAATTAAATTAATATTCCTCCAGCTACATGTATCCTATTTCTATTCACGAGCAACTATACAATTTGTTGGTTGAATGGTTGAATTTTACTGTCTCGATGGAACGGCCATTCAACCGTGCCCACAACACTTGCACTACACTTAGTGTCAGATCAACTGAAATAAAATAAAAAATCATTGAAAAATGATTAAAACACTTGAGTTTTTTCATACATCCTACACAAATTTATGAAATATTGCCACCATTTTTAAATGTATTAAACGAACAGGATTTTAAACTAACACGTGGGTTTAAAAGGCGGATTTAACCTGTCAGAAATGAGCTCTTTGCATAGCAAGTAAAATGCAAATAAAATAACTATCTATCATCATTGACAATAGGCTGAGTTATGTTTTTATTTTACATGTGTATAATTAATGTTGGTTTTATACGTGCTTGTAACACGCCATAATTGTGATAACTGTGGTACGTACATTGTTATTATATATGCGATTATAAAGTCCAATTTTAGACCATGTCCGGGTTTGGTTGTTTTAATTCAACATAAAAATTTTGACAAGAAAGCGAAACCTCAATCAATTCAGTTATACAAAAGTTAAGTATGAAGATATTAGTTATACATCTTTAAAACAAAACAATTAAACACTATTAATATTTAAATAGCAAAATAGTATCCGTTAATTGTAGTATAATAAGAAACAATATTGTTTGTATTTAACTAAGGCCGGAAGAAGACTAATAGGCAAGTTATGTATTAACAGATTAATATAACAATTTGTTCGTAAAGTGCATTTCATAATTTCCACATAAATAATTAAATATTTCATGTTTATACGAACGTATATATAATATGCATCAAAGCAAAGTTGTATCCTTTTTATGAAATTAAAATATTTTCTTAATCAATGTGCACACTTGATGATCTTAAAGCATTCTCAGGTTTCTCATCCGTTGTAAAACTAGCTTCATCCGACACGTGATTTTTCTCATTAAAGTAGATAACGAATTCCTTTAAAAGCTCGAAAGCGTGTAACCAACAAACCAGTTAAGCTCGTTACAAAAATTTAATTTTCAACATTGCTGAGTGCGCGCTTTTCATTAAATGAGCCGCGTCACGACAAAACCAACATAGTGCGTTTGCGACCAGCATGGATCCAGACCAACCTGCGCATCCGCCCAGTCTGATCAGGACCCATGCTGTTCGCTTACAAACCCTATTACAAGTAGAGAAACTGATAGCGAACAGCATGGATCCTGATAAGACTGCGCGGATGCGCAGGCTGGTCTGGATCCATGCTGGTCGCAAACCCACTATGTTGGTTTTGTCGTGACACGGCTCAAATATTCTCAAGTTTATTTAAATAGAAACATGTACACAAAATCAATTACTAATATGAACTCTTCCTTATCGTTTTGTCGGATGCTTTCCGGAATATGCTAAACATAATGTAGACTATAGACTTTAGAGTTTGATACTTAATTTGCATATACATGTACTTAATTTGCATAAATTAAACGCGCAGTCGTAAAGAAATTATATCAATTACTGTATTTTCAATAAATAAATAAATAAATAAATAAATAAATAAATAAATAAATAAATTAATAAATAAATAAATTAATAAATAAATACAAAAGCTAGAAGTTCCGCAAGTAATTAAAACGTTTCTCCGACTCCAGTAAAAAAAAACCATTTACCTTCCTAACATCGACAAGCCTTTGTTTAAATGCATCCATCTATTCAAAAAGATAAAGTTTTGTTATTGTATTACGGGTATTTTTTGGTTAAAGAAAATTTATCTCAATTCTTTCCGACGTTATCACATATTCTGTTTACAAAACACTCAGCCCTTCTTTAAGGAGGTCGCTCACATCATACCAAAATTGCCAAACGCTACAATAATCAGCGAAGTTAGTGCGATAAAAGTTAAGTAGTCCGAAAACAGAATCGTACGACGTTTCACGTTAGCTCAGCCGATCTGTTGCATGGTTCGTTAAATAGTGCGTGTCGGGATTGATAAAGATTTTGAAAAGATACCGTTATGTGTGTGCCACATTTCTGTCCAGATGAATTGAAGAAAAATTAAAATATGCGTTAATTTCTTTTTTCTTATTGTATCATTTGAATAAATCGCGAGTATTGATAGTATTATGTCGATCATTTCCCGAACACGTGATATATTTGTACTATATAGGCTTCAGAAATAGTAATAGGCTGTTAACGCGTTACGAAAAACGTATTTTAACTCGCAATTTTGACAGGCATGTGTGGTTGCATTTGTTTAAATGAAAATTGTGTGAACACTTAAATTTGTGGTAGAATACCTGATGGATGCGTGATGCGCGGCACTTCACAGTTTAAATTTTGAAAAACGAATAACCCAGCTTTACTTAAATTCAAAACAGTCCAGCCAATTATAGAATTTATATACCCTTGCTTGCATTTTGTACTTTATATAGCTAGTTACACTCATTCCTGTATTTTCATCAATAGTGGTATCATATAATCACATGTTAAACATGTTATGATGAGTAATACATATAATAAAATAGTGGGATTATCATAAATACGCTGTAATGTGTAAATATATATTATATACACGTATATCACTATTAATAATATATATAAATAAATACGCATACACTGCCTTTACCTAATCACCAATTAAGAATAGTAAGAAATATTTGGCAGGATTAGCAGTATATAAATAAAATAAAAAACCTTAATTCTATTACTGTTACAAAACAAAGAGTTGATATTTAAGCATGCATTAGATTATTATACGATGATTAATGTAGGCCTACGTATATATGTTGGTGAACGCCCATTATACAAAAAATGAAAAATGAACGATCATGTGTCTGTAGTCTAAATATGTTTATGTGTCCGAGACGATATCAAAAACAAAAGAATAGTTTTGCCATAATAATAAAATTGATTCGTGATGAAAATAAATGAATTTTACCTACGTTTGCACATCCTATTCAAAATTGCTTAATCATATTAAGCTAGTATGCACAATATAAACAGTAAGTCCGCACATAAACCATTACTTTCGTTATCTATTTAACATGCTTCACGTTAACTGGTGAACATACATATAATGTATGGTGATAATAAATGCCTGTGTGCTCATAAAAATACATATGTCATCTACAAATAGCATCTCAAGCGAAACATTGTATCAACTATAGGCAATTATATCAACTATTTCCCGTTTTCAGCCAGCGAGTAAATTGTACACAACACGCGATTGTAGTTTTGTCATTCATATGTAATGTATTGTATATTCAATTGCATCTCGTAATAGGGTATTGATTGACAAGTTTGTATGTGCCTTTTCAACAGCGATACAGCTATTTAGCTATAAATGAAGGTATTAAAAATACGTTATTCCGTGCTATATAATTATGTAAACTCAGTATAAAAATGCTACCGGGTTCCATTAGCAAGCTGTGCAGTTTTATTCGCGTGAAATAATGCAACGTCCATGATTGGATTCGAACTCATAACCTACGGGACCACGGAACGCACAGCGGACATTGAAACTCATAACCTAAGGGATCACTGAACTCACAGCGGACATTAAAACTCATAACCTAAGGGACCACTGAACTCACAGCGGACATTAAAACTCAAAACCTACCACAGCGGACATTGAAACTCATAACCTAAGGGACCACTGAACTCACAGCGGACATTGAAACTCATAACCTACGGGACAACTGAACGCACAACGGACATTGAAACTCATAATCTACAGGACCACTGAACGACAGCGGACATAGAAACTCAGAACCTACATCAGCGGACATTGAAACTCATACCCTAAGGGACCTATGAACTCACAGCGGACATTGAAACTCATAACCTACAGGACCACTGAACGCACAGCGGACATTGAAACTCATAACCTACGGGACCACTGAACGCACAGTGGACATTGAAACTCATAATCTACGGGACCACTGAACTCACAGCGGACATTGAAACTCATACCCTAATGGACACTGAACTCACAGCGGACATTGAAAACTCATAACCTACCACAGCGGCCATTGAAACTCATAACCTACGGACCACTGAACGCACAACGGACATTGGAAATCATAATCTACGGGACCACTGAACGCACAACGGACATTGAAACTCATAACCTACGGGACCCTGAACGCACAACGGACATTGAAACTCATAATCTACGGGACCACTGAACTCACAGCGGACATTGAAACTCATAATCTAAGGGACCACTGAACTCACAGCGGACATTGAAACTCATAATCTACGGGACCACTGAACTCACAGCGGACATTGAAACTCATAATCTACGGGACCACTGAACTCACAGCGGACATTGAAACAAATAATCTACGGGACCACTGAACTCACAACGGACATTGAAACTCATAATCTACGGGACCACTGAACTCACAGCGGCCATTGAAACTAATAATCTAAGGGACCACTGAACTCACAGCGGACATTGAAACTAATAATCTACGGAACCACTGAACTCACAGCGGCCATTGAAACTCATAATCTACGGGACCACTGAACTCACAGCGGACATTGAAACTAATAATCTACGGGACCACTGAACGCACAGCTGGCATTGAAACTCATAATCTAAGGGACCACTGAACTCACAACGGACATTGAAAACTCATAATCTACGGGACCACTGAACTCACAACGGACATTGAAACTCATAATCTACGGGACCACTGAACTCACAGCGGCCATTGAAACTCATAATCTAAGGGACCACTGAACTCACAGCGGACATTGAAACTCATAATCTACGGGACCACTGAACTCACAGCGGCCATTGAAACTAATAATCTAAGGGACCACTGAACTCACAGCGGCCATTGAAACTAATAATCTACGGAACCACTGAACTCACAGCGGACATTGAAACTCATAATCTACGGGACCACTGAACTCACAGCGGCCATTGAAACTAATAATCTACGGGACCACTGAACGCACAGCTGGCATTGAAACTCATAATCTAAGGGCCACTGAACTCACAACGGACATTGAAACTCATAATCTACGGGACCACTGAACTCACAGCGGCCATTGAAACTCATAATCTACGGGACCACTGAACGCACAGCGGCCATTGAAACTCATAATCTAAGGGACCACTGAACGCACAGCGGACATTGAAAACTCATAATCTACGGGACCACTGAACGCACAGCGGACATTGAAACTCATAATCTACGGGACCACTGAACTCACAGCGGACATTGAAACTCATAATCTACGGGACCACTGAACTCACAACGGACATTGAAACTCATAATCTACGGGACCACTGAACTCACAGCGGACATTGAAACTAATAATCTACGGGACCACTGAACGCACAGCTGGCATTGAAACTCATAATCTAAGGGACCACTGAACTCACAACGGACATTGAAACTCATAATCTACGGGACCACTGAACTCACAGCGGCCATTGAAACTCATAATCTAAGGGACCACTGAACGCACAACGGACATTTGAAACTCATAATCTAAGGGACCACTTGAACTCACAGCGGACATTAAAACTCATAATCTAAGGGACCACTGAACGCACAAACGGACATTGAAACTCATAATCTAAGGACCACTGAACTCACAGCGGCCATTGAAACTCATAATCTAAGGGACCACTGAACGCACAACGGACATTGAAACTCATAATCTAAGGACCACTGAACTCACAGCGGACATTGAAACTCATAAATCTAAGGGACCACTGAACGCACAACGGACATTGAAACTCATAATCTACGGGACCACTGAACTCACAGCGGACATTGAAACTCATAATCTACGGGACCACTGAACTCACAGCGGACATTGAAACTCATAATCTACGGGACCACTGAAACGACAGCGGACATAGAAACTCAGAACCTACCACAGCGGACATTGAAACTCATAACCTATATACGGAACCACTGAAGGCACAGTGGACAATGAATGAATATAGTGACGTGTACATTGTTAAACCCACGAACTTTTAATTGAGCTAAAAAATTGTTAGCGAGCATTTACAGTGTATGTCTCTGTGTCCGGATGTCTGTCTGTTTATGCCCTGTGCTCGAACCTACATCAACAAAGCCCATTGATACAGAACTTCACAGCAAACTTGGGTGCATTACTAGAAGACCGAGTGAAAAAGACGTTATTTCAATTTCTTTAAATACATGTATCAAAATATAAATACAATTTGAAAGTTTGTATAATGTGTTGATAGTTCTACAGTCACATGTAACGACTGAGCTACTAGATTTTGAACAACTATAAAATATGCGTAGCCAAATCCGAATCTAAGGCAATCCAAATCTAAAGTAATCAAATTTAAGGCAACCAGAATCTTAGCTAATCAGAATCACACTTTTATTTATCATTCTACAATATCATTTGGCTCATGTTTTATCAGCTTAAAAAATGTTTTACAAATTCAGTACTTGCGGTGAAAGGAAATATCTATTTTGAATGTTCCAGACGTAGTTTAACTTGAAGATTTTAATATTTTTTAAACGATCTTTCATGCAGTTAGTGAATAATGTCTTTTTGTAATTTTGTGATATATTCAATTTTATTTTCTTTAATGTTGTTTTCTATTGTTTCTGACACCAATATTGAATGTCAAATCCCCAAGAAAACTAGATGAAGTACTGTGGCCACAATTTGTTCATGAAAGACTTGGCACCAGTTACTTTTAGATTAGATTATATCACTGTTTCAGCCAAAAGGATTCAAAATATCTTGTAAAAGAAAAAAAAAATCCGATTCGCTACACTAACAGTTACTATACCTCCTCAGATCGCTGCCAACTTAACTATATTCATCATTGGCAGGAGACATATGAGCCGTGTCACGACAAAACCAACATAGTGGGTTTGCGACCAGCATGGATCCAGACCAGCCTGCGCATCCGCGCAGTCTGATCAATATACATGCTGTTCGCTAACAGTTTCTCTACTGGTAATAGGGTTTGTAAGCGAAC